TGGGTGCTGAGCCCTGTGGGCGCTGCGTGGCAGTGATGCATGGCGTGGGTGCTGAGCCCTGTGGGCACTGCGGGGCAGTGGTGCGTGGCGTGGGTGCTGTGTGGCATGGGTGCTGAGCCCTGTGGGCGCTGCGTGGCAGTGATGCATGGCGTGGGTACTGAGCCCTGTGGGCGTTGCGTGGCGTGGGCACTGAGCCTTGCGGGTGCTGCGTGGCAGTGGTGCGTGGCGTGGGTGCTGCGTGGCGTGGGTGCTGAGCCCTGTGGGCGCTGCGTGGCAGTGATGCATGGCATGGGTGCTGAGCCCTGTGGGCGCTGAGTACTGTGGGTGCTGAGCACGGTGGGTGCTGTGGCGTGGGTGCTGCGTGGCGTGGGCGCTGAGCCCTGTGGGCGCTGAGCACCGTGGGCAATCACTGCAGGGAAAGAGAAGAGCAACACTTGTGAGCCAAGGCAGGCAGGAGGGCGTGAAGGATAAAGACGTGTCCTCTCCACCTGCGTTACGGTTTTATGCTGGTGGCCATCACTGTCGTACCTGGGAAGCCCAGAGGGGACTACGCGGAAGGCTAAGGGGGGCAGTGGATTATTCAGCGGGCTGCTAAACAAGGTGGTGAACAGTCGTGGTAAAACATTAGGGACGGGGAAATTGGGCTAGCTAGCAAGACCGTCCTTATTGCTCCAGTGATTGCCAGAGCTGCTCTCCCCCGTGAGGCCTGCTTCCCAACGCAGCCGGGGGGCTCAGGGCTTCTGAAAGGATTTGTGTCAAAGCAGAAGGAAAATCCCCACGAAATGGATTTGAATAATTGTTCTGCGGAAACATTTGCAAAGCTGAACCTGGAGAATTTGACCTCCTCGTTCCAGCGAGCAAAACAGATCAAACTGGCGTCGCCGTTTGGATGTATGTGGAGCCCGCCCTGCTATTACTCGGGCTTGTTCTGGATTTGAATTCCTCCTCTTCTAGCCTTAGTCCCACCTGTTCTGGCTCACTTCTTCGAGTCCTTTTTCTCCTCCATTCCAGTCTGCCTTGGAGCAATTCCTCGGGAACTCCACAGCTAATCAGATCCTGGCCCATCACATCCGTCCACCTAATTCTGGGTCTTCCAACCCTTCTCTGACCCTCCATTCCTAAATGTAACACCATTTTTTCCACATGCCCAAAGCCACCTAAGTCTGGATTTCCTCAGCCTTTCTGTAGTTGGTGCCATCTTCCCACTGCCCCTGATTTGTTCATTCTGAACATGGTCCATCCGTGTAGCTCCAGGCATCCATCCCAACACTTTCATTTCCACTCTCCAAGATCTGCCCCTGATTCTTCCCCAATGCCCAGCATTCGGAGCCAGACCCCAGTACAGGCCTAAGTACCGTCCTCTAGAGCTTACGTTTCAGTTTGAGAGGCATTCTCCTACCGCTGCTCACACTGCTCACTTCTCTCCATTTAGTCCATCGTAACTGATTTCTTCCCAACCCCAAATCCACTGAGCTTCAGTGGAAATCCTCACTTCTCTGTGCCTGAATTGCTCTATCTGTGAAATGGGGATAATGACATTGACCTGCTTTGTAAAGTGCTTTGAGATCCACAGATGAACAGTGCTAGATAGGTGGTAGGTGTTGTTAGTCTCTTCATCCTGCTCGCAATCTCACCAACCTCAAATAATAACCTCATGTGCCTGGTCCTCCACAATCTTGAAATTGGCTTAAGAATCATGAAGGGACTCAAGCAGGTTTGCGGTTTTTCAACACAACTTTCTTTTGTGGGAAAATGCGGATTTGTCAAAACTGAAACTTTTCACGGGCAATGGATTGGTTTCAAGGACACTTTCCTCAGGAAGGTCTCTCAGGTCCAGGGTGGAATTGAGAGCAACCCTAGAGCAGCCAATAGCTCATTGTTCAGGGCACTTGCCTTGGATGGGGGAGACACAGGTTCAAGTCTGGGCTACACCCCAGCTGGGTGCCCTAACTGCCTGGCTATAGCTATGCTGGGGTGGGCTCTCTCAGTGCCTCCTGATGAAGCCATTCCACTGTGGATAAATTAAATATTCCCTGGGCCAAGGAGGGAGGAAAAAATAACTCTCTAGCCCAGTGGTTGGGGGCCACTAGAAGGTGCCTGTGACCTCACAGAGTTTCCCATATGAGAGGAGGGAGAATCTGGCCTGAAGCTACTCATGGGGGAATACTGCACATGTGCAGAATTTATGTCCCCCACAGATTTCTTTGCTTCCCCGCAGAAAAATGACTTCTGATGGGGAAGCAAAGGGAAGCCCTCAAGAGCGGTCATGCGCCTCTCCCCGGCAGCGCAGGCAGGTTGGTTCGGGTGCCCGGAGCAGCTGGTAGAGACATAAATCACTGCTGGGATGGGATGGGGGCGGGGGGCTGTGCAGTCGTGAGTGAGAAAGAGAGACGCTCTGGCCCTCTTGCTTGCTATTGTGGCACACTCAGCGTGGAGAGCCAGGGCTTTGGGGGGTTTCTGAGGAGGTAGGCGTGGGGCAGAGCAGAATGTAGCAGCCTGCCTGCTTAGTGAATTGTTCCCACTGTCTTTGTGAATTCCCCCAGCAGTATAAAACAGGTGTAAAAGTTTTAAGGCTCCTTTACGTTGCCAGAGTGGTGTAAAGGACAGTGTGGCCTTATAAGCGCTTACGGTGCTTTAGTGATTAGAACTGGCCTAAATTTTTAGACTGAAAAAAATTCCTATCAAAATGTGCTCCATGACCTGTTCGGTGCTGACCTTTCTGGAGATGGTCAGTAGCCAATATAAATTGTGAGTTTGATTCCCCAGCCCTCACTTGCTCTTCAGTTGCCTAAGATGTAACACTGAGCATATGGCTGCATATATTTGTTGCCTAATAACTAGAAATAAAGGGTCAAACCTAGCTACGTTACTATTAGACAAAGGAAGTTTGGGGATTTCCTCCAATGCACCCCACTCCAATTCGCCATCCATTGTATTGTAGTTTAAATAAATTACCAAAATAATTGAAACTGGCATGATTATATTGCATTATTTTGACAAATAAATATGCAGAATTTTAAAAAATTGTGTGCAGAATTTTTAATATTTTGGTGCAGAATTCCCCCAGGAGTATAGAAGCTTGAGATGGAAAAGGCCCCGGATGGCATCTCCTCTAGCCCATCCCCTGCTGCAGTGACTTCTTCCCCCAGCAGGTGAATAGCGCCTTGTCCAATTCAAATTGTCCCAGGTGGTGAGGGGAGAGATTGCCTTGGCAACAGCCCCCAGCAGGGTTTGCGTCCCAGACCAAAGCACCGAACTTGTTGCCACCAGAGCTAAAGGAACAGTTGTATGAGCTGTTAGCAGTAGCAGGCTGTTACCCTCCAGCCACTGGAGAGAACAAAGTCGCATGCTTTGTAAGTATGTTGCACCTTGTCAGGAATTTATACTAACTCTCAGTCTAAATGTTCTGTTCCTCCACTGTCTCCTGGTCTTTTCCTGGTACCTGCCTAAGTGGTTCCCTGTCCACACTCCAGACCCCTCCTGCATTGTGCGTGTTGAGTGGAACAGGGAGGGACACGTTCAGAGTTGGCGTCTCTGTCTGTCCCATTGCAGATGGCGGCTAATGACAGTTTCAGTCTGGCGTATCCGGGCAACCCCCAGCCCGGGGACCTGATCGAGATTTTCCGGCCGGCTTATCAGCACTGGGCTCTGTATCTGGGGGATGGGTACATCGTCAATGTGGCACCTGTCGGTAAGAGCTGCCCCACATTGATTCATTGGGGGGAGGAGCTGTTTCCCACCCAGCCAGAGCGGCTGTGCACATGCGGGGTGAAAGCCGGGGCTCTCAGATAAAAGGTGGCAGAGCGTGTGCACTCTGGCAGTCCTGGGCTGGTCCGTCCCTCGGAAAGGGCTGGGAATTGGGAATAGCGGGCGGCTTTGGGTGTCTCGTGCAGGACCGTGACACAGATGGGACTCAGGGTAGGAAGTGGGGCCCAGTGGCTGGTGTAGCAGATGTTCCTAGCTCTGCTACTGGCCGCTGGGTGACCTCAGGCACGTCACTTATTGTCACCTCTTTAAAACCGTAACCCTTCCTGGGGCGTGGGAACTCCAGTGACATTCACAATGGGGCCCTGAGATGCTGGGTGAATGGCCGTGCCCCAGGCTGTGAACGGGGTGTGGCTGCTGAGTTCACCTGGGTCAGTGAGGTGGGAGTGGCTGAACTGGGACTCACTGCCCTGCAGGCGCTGTCCCATGGTAGGGGTACAGCAGAGCCGCCCTGCAGGAGGCGCTGTGCCTCAGGATGCTCTCAGCAGCAGGGGCACAGCCGGGCTCCCAATACCCCTTGAGAGGGTCTCTCCAGTGCCGCTGGCTGGTGGCAGAAATTGAAGGGGGCCGAAGAAAGACGGCAAAGACAAGCTGCAGTGCTGGAAGGAACTCCTTCTCGCCTAACGGTTTTTCCTCCTGCTAAGTCTGGTGGTGAGGAAGTCCAGGCGAATACCTGCCTGCGCCTGATGAAAAGAGCAGCCTCCTGTGACTTCTCTAGCTTCACTCTCACCCCACCCCTCTGAAGACTTTCCCGGTGATAGTAATACAAACATATCCTTCTCCAGCCATCCAGGCGAGTGGGCCAGGACTTCTCGAGAGCTCGTGGCGTATTGGATTGAGAAGGGCCCACAGAAATGCCAGGCTCTAGATGCTGACTTTCCATTGACAAAGCGACAGTACACCAGTCAGAATCGTTATCTGACCCAATCAATGTCTGAATACGTGAAGCCTAACAAACGGGTTGGCAAGTGAGCATGGCTCATCTCTTCGCCTGCTAAGAAGAAAGTGAACTGTTTTAATTGCCGCCTGTTTTCTGATACCCAAAAGTGGGGAATGTTCTGCGAAGGCTTCAGCGATTGGAAGAATACTGCATACGTTACTAATCATGCAGTGAGTGAGCAGCGTACATTGTCCGTTAGCAGCTACCACGCCCCAAAGAAAGTTAAGGGCAGAATTGATACCCAAATGGAAAACCAGTTATTGAAAGAACGTTCTCAGACACGTCGTTGAAACCATAGTTGTTCTTGCTGAGCGTGGTCTGCCATTCTGTGGCTCAGATGAGGCTGTGGGCAATTACCTTGGTGTTCTAGAGCTAATCGCGAAACTCGACCCTTTCTGAGCTCAGCACATCAATGGTGGTGGGAAAGGCAAATCGTGGGAAAGGCCGTACATCACATCTATCAAAGACTGTGATGAATTCATTGCCCTGCTGGCAAAGACGATGCTCTCAGCCATTGTCGTGAGATCAAAGATGTGGGATTGTTTTTCAGTGTCTGTCGACTTGTGACGGGTTTGAGCCCTTTGGGGTGTCACCGGATGTGCTGGGGTGCCACTGAGTCAGCCTATTCTGCCAGCCTGGGTCCCCTTTACCTGGCCTTGCTGGGCTGGGCTCACCAGCCTCTTCCAGCCAAGCACACAGGCAGGGCCACCCCCAGCTGCTCAGAGAGACAGAGATCCGCTCTGGGAAGATTCAGCCTTAGGGGCTTGCCCCAGCACACTGGTACCCACTCCCTTTAAGGGGTACAAACTCAAAAGTTTTATGAAATTCGCCCCCTCCCTCAATGTGGAGGGAGATATGCACAACTTCTTCTCTCCTCCCTCCCTCCCCCCCCTGCAGTTAGAAATTACATAAACGGGGTTATATTATAAACAAGACATAAGTTTATTAGCTGCAAAAGGTGAATTTTAAGTGAATATAAGAGATAACAGAACAAAGCAGATTACTGACCAGATAAAGCAAAATACGCAAGCCAAGCTCAATATACTTAAGAAACAGGTTACACAATGTCAATTCTCACCGAAATGTTATTTTAGGCAGGTTGTAAAGTTTCTGTGGTTCAGAGTTCCAGTTCTATTCCTTTTCAGTCTGGACTCCCCCCTGCCTTCCCTTCGGGTGGCTTTAGCAGTCTTTCTTCTTGGGCAAACAGGCCATGGAGAGGAGAGGTCCTGTTTGCCCTCTTCCCCACCCTTCAATAGGATTTACATAAGGCGGGAATCCTTTGTTTCCCAAACTTGACCCTCCTCCCCCTTCCAGTGGAAAGTTACAAGAAGTCCCAGGTAATGTTTAGGATCAGGTGACAAGACCACCTGACTCTGTAGGATCACAGCATCCATGAGTCAGGGGCAGTATGGAATGTCCACAGGAAGGCCAAGCTTTTCACAGTCCATTGTCCTTGCTGATGGGTCATCCGCCCTGTCTGGCTTTTCCATTGTTGTACCTGAGGTGTACGGGCCGTGAAGTTTTGTTTATTGCCTGTGACCTGTCCATGACTTTTACTAAAAATACCCATGACTAAATCGTAGCCTTGTTCATAACTGATGTGGCAGGCCCAGAGGTGCCGGGCTCTGAACGGCCAGGCCCAGAGGTGCCAGGGCTCTGAATGGCCAGGCCCAGAGGTGCCGGGGCTCAGCCCTGGCACAAATCAAGCCCTGCTTCTGTCCCTTTCTCGGGGGTGGCTCATGGAGTCCTTGTGCTCAGGTGAGAGGAAGACTGGGACTGCCCTCCACAGTGCATGGGGGTCGAGGGGAGGACGGCCCCCTTCCTCCGCCCCTTCCCCCTAGGGGCAGCCCCTTTCTGTCATTGTCGTTCAGTTCAGAGAAGGACTGAGTACCCCCTCACACTCCTGCAGGGCAGCCACCCCAGGGGTGGGCTCTGGGTTCCCCCCCTTGGCCCCGGGGGAACTACCCGCGGTGCTGTGAGCTGAGTGTGGCCAGCGGGACGGCTGGTGCTGTGGCCGTCCCGCGCGCCGGCCGGCCGGCTCAGCCTTGTCTCTGCCTTTCCCAGAGGAAGGTGCCGCGTCGTCGCTGGCGAGTGCCAAGTCTGTGTTCAGCAGGAAGGCCCTGGTGAAGATGCAGCTCCTGAAGGATGTGGTGGGGAGCGACACGTACAGAATCAACAACAAGTACGACGACGTCTACGCGCCGCTGCCTGTGGAGGAGATCATCCGGCGCTCGGAGTTCCTCATCGGCCAGGAGGTGTCCTACGACCTCCTCGGCAACAACTGCGAGCACTTTGTGACACTGCTGCGCTACGGGGAGGGGGTCTCTGAGCAGGTAGGGGTGCCGTGGGCGTGCAGCTGCGCTGAGTATGGGGCAGGCAGGCTGGTGTCTGGCTGCACGGGGCGCGCTACTCCCCTCTCCTCCCGGGTGTCCCGCAGGATCTGCACCGTGTCCACACGGCACCAGCTTGACCAGCCCTGCAGCAAGCTCTGTGAAAGAGGCCACCACATAGGGCGTTTCTCACACAGTTTGCAGCCAGGTCCTCCCTCCGAGGGGAAGGGCTGGTGGGGTAGGATGCAGCACACGCTGCAAACTCCCTGGGGACAGCAAAGCACCAGTGCAGAGCTGGCTCTGGCCTGCTCCTCTGCCTTGATTGCAGGACTGCCCCGGCAGCACAGCTGGCTAACGAATCCCACTTCGTCTGGCTGAACCCCCCCCCCGTTTGCATATTGCCCCTTTCATTGGGGGTAGAAGCCACAGTGAGTGAGGCTCTACTCTGCTCAAAGCTGCATTATCCCAGGGGGAGCAGCTGCTCCCCCGCTGCAATCCCAGCATGCCCTGGTCCAGCAGCATATCGGGGGGTTGGGGGGTGGCTTCCACAAGTTCCCAAACGGGGGGAGGTTTTCTCAGTGTGGGGCTCATGCGGAATCTGGTCCATTCTCCCTGGTGCAGACAGACCCGCGTGGACTTGGGCGAGTTTTGTTAACTGCAGGTTTTGTCAAGAACAAACCTGGTATATGGAAGTCCCAGCAATTTAAAACTGTTGTGGTGAATCCTGGGTGTGTTTTGTTGGGGGAGGTTTAAACCCCGGGGCCTGATGACGAGCTGTGCAGAGAAACCCCTGCGCTCTCAACTGAAAATGTGCTTCTTAAACCCGTCCTGCCTCTGGCCACAAGGGCGAGCGATATGCCGCCTGACCACGACCCCCACTGACTTCAGTGGGCTTTGGATCAGGCCCATGACTGTGGGCCAGATTCTGACAACCATGAAGTCAATGGAATTCACTCCAGATCCACAGTGGCATCACGGAGAGCAGCGTTTGACCCCATGTTCTGTCTGTGGACTGAGTGCGGAGCAGACATTGCTCTGCTCAAAGGTGTGTGACCTACTGGGCATGAAGCCAGTTTTGGCCCTGATTCTGATCTCACGCTTGCGTAAATCAGGAGTAGCTACTTCGAAGTCCCTGAATTCCACAGGCGGGAAGCCAGTGTACTGTGAGATCAGCATTCGACCTGCTCTGCTCTGTCTCGTGCATGCATCTCTTGTATTCACTGTGCTCATGAGAGATTGTTCAAGTGTGAAAAACCCAACGTTCGTGATGTCGCCAGGCTGTTTTGTTTTTCCTTTGCAGGCCAACAGAGCAATCAGTGCCATTGGGTTTGTAACAGCTGCGGCCGGTGCTGTCTCATTGCTGGGCTTTTTCCAGAACAGATCCAGGGAGCGGCATTATTAACCACGTACCATGATAAACTTACAGCATGTGACGGTTGGATTCCAGATTGGAATGGAACCAGCTCAGTCCATGGATAAAGCTACAATAGACACTTGTTGCCAAGGACGTCACTGTTGCCAAGGTCACTAGCTGTAGTTTTTGTCATAGCAACTTGTATTCAGTTGCAGCTGATGGTTTTCTTGCTAGCCTCAGTGGACTCCCTGGCAAATTCTTCATCCTCACTGGTGCTGTTTTGCTGGTGACTGGGCCCGTGAGCCCACAAAAGAGCTTTATACACAATTGTTGCTGACAGTGTTTTTATAGACTTGGCTTGCTGGGGGTTTTCAGTGAATAATTTATATTTTTTTACCTGTTTGGAGAAATGTTTTTATGTGTTTTTAAAAAGAATATTCATGAAACTTACAAATATTCCGAGGGGCCTTTTCCCCATCCCACCACCGGTGGGTTTTACAAGTGGAAGATCTCAACTGCTTAGATTTGTGGTGTGTGCTGTGTGGTGTGGTACTGTGCACAAGGGCGTACGCTGCGCCTGCGAGGCCGGAACGCACAGCTGCTCTCCAGGTCACAGGAGATGGGACGCAGGAGTAGGCCCCTTCTCTTGAAAGGGAGAGACGGGTCCCTTCTTATTTTTAAATGGGTGTTTTGTCTTGGATGTGATGCTCTTTTGCTTTAAGAAATAGACCTTTTTCCCACCGGTGAAATGATTCCTGTGTGCTGTTCCTCTGGGCCGGTCTGGTTCATTCTCAGACCACCACAGGGAGGCAGAACCAAGAACGCCACCGCAGCATTTTCTGGCTACTCTGTGCTCCTGCCCAGCACCCACTGTTTTTTTGGACTGCCTGTGCTCAGACAGGCTGCTATAGCTGGTAACTGCTAGCACTGAACCCTACCTCTCCTGGTTTCTTAGTGACCCCCGGGGCTTGGACCTGCCCTGAGCCAAGCTGGGGAAAATAACTCTAAATCCTGCAAAACCAGTCCTTGGTCTGGAGCTGTTCACCCCCCAGAGCCTCAGCCAGAAACTGAGCTTGAGCCCATGTTTAAATTCAGTTCTTGGTCGTTTCCGCCTGCTGGTTGGAGGGCAGCTCCAGCGTTCCTGAAGTGGTGTGGGGAATGTGCCAAAGAAAGCAAGTTGCGTGTATTGCAGATTCTGTTCGCATCCGTTCACCTTCCAGTCCCATGTGGGTGACACCTGGGTTTTGTAATGACTCTGGTTTTATGCTTGAGTGAGTTAGCAGTGTTCTCACTGGCTCGCAGCTAGTAACTGGCCCACAGGTTTGGACGTGTTCTTTGAAGCCTGAAAACAAGATACTACGGTGCTGGCTGTCACGCTGTGCCACTCACTGACTGCAATCGTGCGCAGGCCAACCCACGGTCTGGCTCAGGGTATTTACTGCAGAGTTTTGTCTGCTGTTGAACACGTCCCTACTTGAATCAGAGCTTTTTTATTGTCAGTTGTTTCCGTGTTTGTGGGACTGAGTCTGACGTTCAGTTGTATATTATAGTGCACTGTTGTCTAGTGTTTCCCTTTCTTCTTAAGCTAAATTGGATATTAATTACAGCAAAAAACAAACAAACACCTTCTTCCTATTATAATAAATCTGAAAATAAATCTGAGCATGTGTTGCGTAGCCAAGGGCCATTTCTTGGCAGATGTTATTGGACAGTTAAGCACTTTCTGAGCAAAGGAGCTGCATTTAACCAAGGTCTGTAGGCGCTCAGCCTCTCATGCCTGTAGGATGTCTGAGACCTGAACTGCACTGTTTCATCTTTCACCACCAGGGAGTTGTGTGTGAAAAGAAAGAGGACCAGACTTGCCCTAATTTACCTCATTTAATCCCTTGAACTAAGTGGAGTGACGTGATTGTTACATGAGGGTTGAATTTGGCTAGGTATGTACATATGGTTCAGTCACATGAGTCTGAGCCAGGAAAAATCAGACTCTGAACTAACCAGGCCTAAGCCTCATAAATGAAATTTACCCTCACTCCACACTGAAGTCGCTGCTGAAAAATTGTGAGGGATGTGAATGGAATCTCCTTAGTATAAATATCACTGTGCTTGACTTTGCCCACCCCCAGCCCGGTCCCCAGGAGAAGATTTTCAGTGTGTTAGGCCTTCATCCGCTGCATGACAGTAGGGCACTCCTCATGGTCCCATTTCTGCAGCCAGTGCCTGTGCAAGAACTGGAAGATGGGGCTCTGTATGGGGATGACGTGGGGATAACATCGGGCTTTATGGGGATAACGTACGTTCCCTGTCACATCTTTAGCTCCTTCAGGCAGGGAAGAAATTTGCTCTCTGGACAACACATCTTTGCCGTTTGGTCTTTAGGTTTCCATGTTGGGCTGCATTTTGCAAATTTACATACACGTCTTTCCCCGTGCCCAGAAAAGTCACCCGGTCCCAATACACCACCTGAATTCATGAAGTGCTATGCAGGGATCAAAGAAACACGACCCCCAAACCTGCAGCTTGAAATTCTCCCAAAGAACTTCAAAAGCAAAACCACAGGAAAAATCGACTCACTTTATTTATTTTTAATTGTAGTTTGGCAGCTTACACAAGAGTCTTAGTACGGTACATTGACTAGCCTGGCAGCAACAGAGGAGAATGAGATGCTCATTGTTTTACAGGGAGTTTGCAAAACTCTAATCTTCTTTAGCATATTTGTAATTGGACAGAAAAAGTGCTCAAATGGTCAATAAAGCTTCACAGAAAATGGTAATTCTCCATAAAGTAATTCCTGTCAAGGGTACAGTTGTAAGAGACACTGCCTGCATCTCTCAAACAACTTTGGGTGCATGTGTTCACACAAAACCCCCTGAATCTTTTACCTATGAAACAGTGAAAATAGTCTAGGTTCAATATAAACTAGGAAAAGTCGTCCTCTTTGGCTTCTAGTTCTCTTCGTCGTGTTCATAGATTGGGTTGATGTAGATTTCATTCTTGCTGTTTTCTGCAAAGTCTTTTCTCTTCAAAGGAGGCCACGTTGGATCCTTCTCCAGCTTCCTCTGCCACTTCCGATACTGGCTGCGAGACCGGAATCGAAAGCATTTCTTAATCAGCAGCCAGAGATGCCTGTTTTGCAGGATGACATCCTGTGAAGTGAAACATAACTGCTGAGACTGGCTCCCTTAACAGCTCGGAAGTGAGTGGAGGAGGCCCACACCTGCCATTCCCCTACTACTAAAGCAGCGTGGGTAAAATTCTGCCCTCACTTACACACAGGAATATTGCCTAGCCAGGGCCTGAGCCCACACTCATGTGCACCCCAAACTCCTCCAGGCTTCCAGATAGGTAGGGTCAGGCCCTTATTCACCTGTTGCATTGGAATTACAAAGCATGCAACTTTCCAATGCTACATTAATCTCTCTTCCCAGTTTACCAGCAGAATGTCCTGTTACATGCATGCCATGTAGGGATTTCAGTTTGGTTTATCTGAAGGGATAACCAGGGCCTGATTTTCAACCTGGCCGTAACCTTCCTTTTGTGAGGTTTCAGCTTGGCAGGGACAAATAACTGTAAGTGCAATGCTGTGCCTACAAACGTCACTTACAAGTTGAAGTACCTAATTTGTGAGCTCTCACTCCTACAGTGACAAACCATACCTGTAAACTAGGAAAATCTACATATCGGGGGCACAAAGGGGGCAGTTTTTAAGAAGTTGGCCCCAAATGTCTGCCTCTGGTATTGAAACATGCAGTTGTACAACCTACTGTCCACAAGCACTATTCTCCAGCAGATGATCTAGGATTCACTCGTCTTCTCTGAAAATGTTCAGTCTCATTGCTTCCAAAGGGAATATATGTGAGAAGTGGGTTTGGTTTATTTAACAGGTTACTTGCATTAGGCGTGTTTAGGGTACATAGCTTTAAAGGAAGATAATTTTGCAGCTGAAAGGGGAAGAAGAATCATAGAAAATGTGGGGCTGGAAGAGACCTCAAGAGGTCATCGAGCCCAGCCCCCTGCTCTGTGGCAGGACCAAGTAAACCTGGACCAGCCCTGACAGGGGTTTGTCCAGCCGGTTCTTAAACGCCTCCCGTGATGGGGATTCCACAACCTCCCTTGGGAGCCTGTCCCAGAGCGTACCCACCCTGAGAGTTAGAAAGAGTTTCATAATACTTAACTTCCATCTCCCTTGCTGCAGACTAGGCTGTTACTGCTTGTCCTACCTTCAGTGGGCATGGAGAGCAACTGATCCCCATTCTCTTTAGAACAGCCCTTAACAGATTTGAAGACTGTCAGCAGGTCCCCCTCTCAGGGTGTTTTTCTCAGGACTAAACATGCCCAGTTTCTTGAACTTGTCCTCAGAGGTCAGGTTTTCTAAACCTTTTATCATTTTGTTGCTGTGAAGCAAACTCGCAGCCAGACCGGGGCTGCTCACTCAGCTACAATGGCTCACCTACCTCATTCAAGGAGCCAGGAGCACAGGCGTGTACCTGGTGCAGTTCACCCCCCTCTCTGACACCTGACACTTCTGCAGCAAGAGGGAGACCCTGGCGCACATCTACCTCAAGTGCGCCAGGTTGCAGCCCCTTTTCCGGCTCCTCCAGAATCTCCTCCTGAGGTTCTGGTTGCACTTCTCCCCATACCTCCTGAAACCCCATCCATGGCCCCATGAAGTCACGAGACCTCCTCATCAGCCTTCTCTTGCTGCTGGCCAAGGTAGCTGTCCACCATGCCAGGAGGAGAAAGCTGGACGGGGAGGTGTTCTGTGACTGTGGGGCCTATTTCTGATCCTCCCTTAGGTCACGTCTCTGGGCAGAGTTCCTCTGGGCCACGTCCACTGGCTCCCTGGATACCTTCGAGGAGCAGTGGGCGCTGTTCATGGTTCTCTGCTCGGTGTCCCCCACTGGATCCCTGCTTTTGACTCGGTGACCTTGACTCCCATCCCGGGGGACATTCGTTGTCTCTGGAATGATTTGAGCTCTGGGTCCAGTGGCTCCTCCCCTTTGGCTGTGGGGGTCGTTTAGATGTGGGCAGGCTTGTGCCCACCCATTACCTCCCCCCCCGACACTCCCCCCTCCAGCAGAGCCTGCAGTGACTCATCTCTCAGGTGTGCTGCAGCAGCCTATCCCGGGGCAGGGCCTGGATCAGATAGCCCCAGGCACAGGGATTTCACTCTCACCGCCAGAGCTACAAGTTAGTCTGTGCAGCAGCATCACTCGGCTACGAACTCTCCTGCTGCCTGGGGGTGTTACAGACCCCGGTGCTTATAGCTCACCCTAGATCCTGACCCACCCTTGCCCGAGCCTTGTTCCAGCCCTCTTCAGTCTTGTCTGTGCCCTATTCTGACCTTGCTCCAGCCTTGCACATGCCTCCTGACACCCAAGCCCTTGCACTGACTCCAACCCAGCTTTGACCTTCAGCCCGCATCCAGATTGTGGCTACAATCCTGATTTGGCTTGTCTATGGACTCTGAGCCCAGTTCTGACCCACGGCGCATCCCCAGGTACCAGCCTCAGCGCTGCTCTCAGCCTCTCGACTCTCAATCCAGCTTTGGCCCTTACTGCCGTTCTCGACCGCCGCTCCAACCGCCAGGCCTGACCGCCTAGAACCCAGAGCCTGACAGTTGCTCTTCTCTGGACTCACTCCAATTTGTCCACATCTTTCTTAAGGCGTGGTGCCCAGAACTGCACACAGGACTTTAGCTGGGGCCTCACCAGTGCTGAGCAGAGCAGGATAATTACCTTCTAGGTCACACATACAACACTCCTGGCGCCGACTTTCTTCTTTCCAGGTGGGTGCTCCGCCCCGCCCCATCCCCCCTCCGCCCCTTCCCCCAGGCCCCACTCTTGCTCCGCCTCTTCCCTCCCCTGAGGCCCTGCCCCATGCCCTCCCATGAGCGTGCTCCGCTCTTGTTCCGCCTCTTCCTGCCCCCTCCCCCCAGTGCCTCCCGCCTGCTGCCGAACAGCTGATTGGCTGGTGGGTGCTGAGCACCCACTGTTTTTTTTCTGTGAGTCTCCAGTCCCAGAGCACCCACGGAGTCGGCGCCTGTGCTCCTATTACTACACCCCAGAATGAGATTAGCCTTTTTTGCAGCTGCATCACATTGTTGGCTCACATTCATTCTGTGTTCCACTAGACCCCCCTGATCCTCTTCAGCAGTAAGGCCACCTCGCCAGCTATTCCCCATGTTGTGTTTGAACTCAGCACTTCCGCTAGACTTCCTGGTCCTCAGTAAAACAGGTAAATGAAAGCACTCACCTCCACAAAGAACGATACACAAAATGTGACAAACAGCATGATTAAGATGTAAACCCTCCAGATCGTTGGAGTGCAGAGAAACTGTTGGAAAAGAAACGCAAGTCATTTGATTTTGAATGTCTTTTAAAGATTCTCATGGATTCCTAACAATCTGTAAGACCAACTAGTTGTATTTTTCCTTGGATCAGCACTGAAGTTAAAGAAATCTTAGTGCCATCTTCTCTTCTCAGAGATCCCTGAACGGATTAAGTCATGTTAAAACATAAAGCCTGGTTTTTTGCTTTCCTAGGGTGCAGATGACCTAAATGTATCTGAAGCAGCTGCTTGAAATGGGTTTAGTGACAGACAAGGCAGTTATTGCATAACATTAATGAAATCCTATTTAAGATCGTGACGGGGGAT